CCTCTGCTTGGTCACAGTTCTGTGTGGTATCACATTTGCATGCGGAGGTGATGTAGTGACAAGCGGCGTGATTACCACTCGCGCGGTCCAGGAAACAAATCCTGGATCGACTCCCGCCCAGGCCAACCAAGCCTTCTACCCTCCGGGGACGGTAAATTGGTACCAGATTCGTCTGGGAGGATAAAACACTGACTTGTACATCGGCTGGCCCCCGCAAGTCATTGTCTGGGCCACACCCGCATGCGAATGGAAGTAGAATGCGTGCCGCATCCCACCAAGGAAGTGACCAACGGCGAAGACTTTATCCTCTAGCATTTGCAGGAATGGCAGAAAAAATAGGATACCTGTGCTCTGGTCAAATGACGCATTTATTTGCAAGGTATCAGAGACGCACGCGACAACGCACGCGAAAAGTTATTGAGCACAGAGCAGCTCTTGTTAGCTTTTTCTTTCGTTTCTGGCCTCCTAACAGGTTTCTAGACATTTCCCTTCCACGATTAACATCCGACTAGTTCGTCGAAATTATTGAACAACAACGTGGAACAAAGTGTTGACAGAACTACTGGTGATCTGATGACGTCCTGCGCGTTGCGCTTTGAACGAATTTGCTCCTCAAGCAGCGTTCAGACTTCGCTGACGCGGCAGACGCGAACGCAGCCGCATATGAACCGCGCCGATCGATTCCCATCTGCGAACGCCCGATCGATGGGCGCCGACCGTAAGTATTTCGAGGAACTATGGGGCGATAGGATGGTAGGTGTTGCCTAATCACGCAGACTGGGTCGATCGCACTGGCAGTCTGCGGTTGCGTTCGCGTCCATAGCTTTGGAGCGCCTCTGCGATTGTAGGGCGTCGACGCGCGTTACAGCGCATTACAGTGCGTCGGCGTGCGTCATAGCGAAGTCTGGACGCTCCCTCATACCCCACAAAATACGGAATATATCCTGGGAACTAGGGCGCATGACTACTCACAATTCATTCACCCTATAGAGAAGCTCGAAATCGCTGCTCGAAATTAACGTGATTTTAGCAATTTCGCATGTCTTCGGAAACAGTCTCCATCAAGCTGTGTTTATTCAGTGTGGATAAATCTAGCCCAATATCGACCAGGTGACACCGGCTTTGAGAACGTGTTTATATTCTGGTTAGAACGCCACACAATGGATACAAAAGCGGATCCTTTGACGATTGTGATCGATATGACTGGGACCAGTACGAAAAACATGGTACGATAGCACTTCCATAGGCATAATGATTTTTGAAAGGGGCATTCAGAAGACTCCTTGTCTAAACTAGAACTATCGTAATGGAGACAAAGACGTTTGCTCAAGCCAAAGCAGCGTTCTGACTTCGCTATGACGCGCTACCTTACAACAGCGTTCCAGTGCTGTAGACGGGAGCCATAGACATAGTGTGCTGGTAGTCCTACTATCCTTGACCATACACCACCCCAAGCCCCGCCCCCTCGATCACGCCCAATTTTCAGCGCGATCGGGATTTTTCAAATTTCATACTGTAACTTCTCCTTCTGTGGCTTTTTGCATTACAGCTTTATCACATTTATTCAAAAAATCATAGACGGCTATACCAGTACACTTTTTCGGGATGGACGCTATCTCGAACTCTGCTAAGACCGAGCCCAGGAGAATGTGACTTCTTTTTCCACGATAAGCTTTGGCAGAGCGCGGACAACCAGAGTGCTTTATGTAAAACGGCGTCAAAAATGGATGCTTGGGTTTTTATCAGGATGTCAGACATGTTTAGTACACATGTTTACACCAATCCAATCAAAAAGTTTGTGGCCCGAAATGGTGCCCATTGGCGCCACATGGTGCCAGCAAAAGGAAGGACATTCCTTCAATGAGGATGACAAATAAACCAAGTGTAGTTTATATGAACTCAGTACCAGAAGAACTCTCTCGCCAAAGTGGCGCCTATTGGCGCCATGTGGCGCCAGCACTACAAAAGAATGAAGTATCTGCAATAAGGATGTCAAATGACCCAGGTATAGAGTTTTATATTGAATTCGTTGACAAAAAAGACTGCTAGCGCCAAAATGGTGATGGCGCTGACGCCGCCAAAATGGTGAATGATTTGTCGTCGGCGCCATGGTGCGCCTATCGGCGCAACACGGCGCCGACGACAAATGCTACGTGACACTCGTGATCAGAGCTGCGAGCAGTCCTCACAGGGCAAAGTTTCATACAAAAGGAAGTATTTTGAGGGTTTCTGGCATAGCAATAGCTAGTTGAAAATTTCCCATTTTCAAATCAAATTTTTCATGGAGGCGGCAACATTGTTCCCGCTCATCCTGTTGGAAGTTCACCTTTCACAAGTCATTAGAATACCAGAAAAGATCGAGAGGAGCTGATTGCAGTAACCCAAAAAGCGGTACAAAAGGTTATGAGCCACTGGTGGCTCATAATGTCGTCAACGTGTTAAGGGAGAGAAGGAGTTGCCTCTTCACACATTCGATACCCTCACATTCTCCTATTTCTCCCGAACACTAGCAGTTAGCGCCGATCAGTACCCGTCTATGGCTGCGTTCCCGTCTATAGCATTGCAGCGCGCTCGCATGGGAGTGCGGAAGCTACCACCAAGTCTGAACGCTGCCTGAACGGAAGGAGTTTTGAGGGAAGTTAACCAGTTTTAAGTACGGCAATCCCGTCCGGATGCCGGTGATCCCAGTTTCGCTCTGAAAGTCCTTCGAATCTCCTCGCTTAGAGTTAATATAGGTGTATAAATGCTTCGTGGTTTTTTCAGGATCTGAACATTTTTAAATTCATCTTACACGCTGTCAAATACTATTATCCTAGTACTGTTCATGATATTATCATTTTTGAATCGCCACCAATATTCGACGCTTCATGGAAGATAAGTGAATGATTTTGTAACTAAGGGGCATAGAACTGCAGTGAACATAAATATTATAGGTCTTGCAGTCATGGTTAGATCCAGCTCATCCGCAAATTCATCATGTGACGAAAGAATGCATTACACAATTCATCGATAGCGAATATCTTCCGCAACACATGGGAGGGGATGTAAGTAAATTTTTCTGCCCCTCAAAAAATCCTGCAACATATGCTGAGGACTTCACACCGCTGATCTTATTCATATGCTCTATATTCAAAAACAAAACGCAGCTGCTTCTGAGAGTATCGTTTGCAAATCTTTTCTTCTTCCTTGACGAAAGATCATTCCCTGAGACATGCACCAAGAAACCAGGAATGAGTGCAGAGCATTCAAATCTTGAAGAATGCAGACCATATGTGGGTTATTAAAACCGTTGTAGTGGGCCGAAGAGCATCCCAAAAATGAAAACCCCTCAGTAACTGTAAGAATTTGGTGCTTGTAGTTTAGCGTGGCAACAGGACAACGCTGTGCCCCTTTGGCTGCGTTCGTACTTTGCGGCAGGGTCCACCAGCGTTTCAGGGCCGCCAGCGTCCAGGAATGGAGAATATGGGGAAGTAGGAGAGCAGCAGACTGCTGGTAGAGTATGGGGAAGTAGCAGGGAGCAGACTGCTGGATTAGGCGTCGTGAAATAACGGAGAAACGCACCGTACTATTACACATAACCGTACATTCAATTGCATAATTCCGTGCTTTAGGAGTTGTACGGTGCGGTTGCACATTTCACGACGCCTAATCTGGCTGTCTGATACCCTTCTACTGCCTCATACTCTCTGCTGCTGAACGCTGGTAGTCGCTGACGCTGGCGGATGGTGGAGTTCGCTAGATCGATATCCACCCTTTCCTGGTGGCTAGCGGACGCTGCTGGTATGATCACTGCTGGTATGAAGTATGATCGCTGCCTTCCCTTAACCAAGGCTTAGGCTCAGGGCGCAGACGACCGCAGTCGCCTGCGGACTGTTTAGTCCACTTTCCACTGTTCCACTCTCTCTTGACTGCATAGCGTTCTATGACCACTATGCTCTTACAGATTTCAGTTCACAAGCCATGTGACCCTATTCAACTGCGTCGGCACCAAAAAGTTCTGGTTATCACACCCGATGTAGTTCAGGAGGCACGATAACGGCATAACGCATTAACCTGCATTTTTCAATTAGCTAACATAGCATTTTGCCCAACATAGCATTTTGACGTAAAACCAAATTGGTCATGGTAGTCTAACCATTAGCTTCGTACGGTCTGTTTCAAGGCCCTAAACAAAAAAAATCTACAATCAGAAAACTGCTGTTCCAAGCTTTGAGAATCACTGTTAGATCACATTAATTACTAAAAGTTATAGAAAACCCCTCATCCACACCTAAGAGGAAGAAAAATTTTATCGAAAGTGGAGATAATTCTTCGAGATTTTGCCGAATTTCTTTGGATAAAGCCGCGGAATAAACGACATAGCCCAGGATTGACGAAATAACGATGGATCGTCTGAGAAATGGGCGAAACGAACTATCTCGCCCCTCCGATTGTTTCTTTTTCAGTCACTTGCTTTTCCTTTTTTCTAATGGCACGCAGCCTACAATGACCCGGTTGATTTGACGCCAAAAAGCTGTGTCGAGTCACCTAATCAGGAGCACGGAACTTTCCTGAAGAATCGCAACCTAACACCGAGTCATTATCTTCTTCTTGCCATAGTAGAATTGGTGGATATATACCATTTTCACTTCAAATTCACCACTTTTCAAAGCAAATTCACCACTTTCCAAAGCAAATTCACCACTTTTCAAAGCAAATTCACCACTTTTCAAAGCAAATTCACCACTTTTCAGAGCAAATTCACCAC